TCTGTTGATCCCTCGCCCCAATGGTATACTGATTAGGAAGACTATGACGGTTATGCAAGTATATAGTCTGAGATTATGGTGGCCATCGTGTTTGTGATGGTTATGCTATGCAAGCTTCATGGCTCTTGCGGATCTGCTTTTGGAAGTATGATGAAAATGTCCTGAGCCCTGACGCCTAAACCCTGAACCCTAGGCCCTAAACCCTAAGCCCTAAACCCCAAACCCAATGCTATAGTTCCCAGCGCCACAGGCACACACAAAGTAATCATGAGATTTTCGAGGGATTCGAGGGTTTAGGGTTTACGGTTTAGGGTTTAGGGCTCAGGGTGTAGGGCTTTTGCCCAAGTCACCAAGTCTGCGACTAGTAATGCCCAGGGTTTAGGGCACATGGTTTTCTCAGCCTCAACTCACCACATGCGCGAGGCCCCCACGGCCTGCCCTGCCTGATCCTCAGCCTCTTCTGCCCAAAAGGTGTTCAAGGGACTAAAGGAGGGACCCTTTATAAAGGACCTGAGGGGTTATTTAGGGGCTACTTAGGTATCTAAGGACTATATATAAGATTAAGGGGTCCTTCTAGGGGGTCCCTCCTTTGTACCCCTTAACGTGCGGTCTCTCCCACTTTTAAGCCCTACGCCAACACGTAAACCCCGTACCCCAACTCCTCAGCCCTTGGCCCGTATTAACCCCACAGCTCCAAATCCCAAACCCTACCCTAACCACCAAAAGAACTAGACCCTGTAGTTCTAAAACCCTAAATCCTTAGCCCTGAAGCCCTAAATCCTTAGTGTTGTGGCCCAGTTGTAGCCTTTGGTCATTTTTTGGTTCAAGGTTGCCTTATCATGCCCAGAGGGTGCCCTGATTAGAATATGGTTGCTAGGCTACCAAGACCTAGCTAACACTCCTAAGCCCTGAGCCCGAAACCCTCAACTCCCAAACCCTAAGCCTTAAACCCTAAACCCTACACCCTAAACTGCCTAAACCCTAAAACCTAAGCCCTAAACCTACACCCTAAACTCCCTAAACCCTAAACTCTCCAAACCGTAAATCTGCACCCGAAAAGCCCTGACGTCTTTCGTACTTCACATGTGTCCAGGCGCTGGAGGTATGGGTAAAGGGCCGTCTTCAGGACCCTAAACCCCAGGCCCTCAACCCTCAACCCTCAGCCCTAAACCCTACTCCCTACAGGGTTTAGGGTTGAGGGGTCTCCAGGAGGCTTCCTTGAAAACCTCAAGGACTGTTTTAGGCGCCGGCAAGGTCTTGGCTCAGGGTTGATCCGGGGCTGGTCAGACCAGAAATGTTTGGAGGGTTTAGGGTTTAGGGTTTAGGGCTTACGTCGGGTTTTTGGGGGTCCCACTTATGGAATCCTCTTGTCGGTATGAGAACTGCACATTTCGCACGCTGGGCTGTTTAGGCAGTCGCCCCTCAACCCTGAACCCTGAAGCCTAAAATTCTAAAGCCCTAAACCCCAAACACTGAACCCTATACACCCTAAACCCTATAAGCCTAAACCCTAAACCCTAAACCTTATAACCCTATAACCCTAAACCCTATAACCCTGTAACCCTATAACCCCTAAACCCTATAACCCTAAACCCTAAACCCTAAACCCTATAACCCTAAACCCTATAACCCTATAACCCTATAACCCTATAACCCTATAACCCTATAACCCTGTAACCCTATAGCCCCATAACCCCATAACCCTATAACCCTAAACCCTATAACCCTAAACCCTATAACCCTATAACCCCATAACCCCATAACCCTAAACCCTATAACCCTAAACCCTAAACCCTAAACCCTAAACCCTAAACCCTAAACCCTAAACCCTAAACCCTAAACCCTAAACCCTATAGCCCTAAACCCTAAACCCTAAACCCTAAACCCTAAACCCTAAACCCTATAACCCTATAACCCTATAACCCTATAACCCTAAACCCTAAACCCTATAACCCTAAACCCTAAACCCTAAACCCTGTAACCCTATAACCCTAAACCCTAAACCCTATAACCCTATAACCCTAAACCCTAAACCCTAAACCCTACACCCTAAACCCTAAACCCTATAACCCTAAACCCCAGAAGCCCTGGAAAGCCCCAGAAGCTCACGAGATGCAGCGGTCCAGGCCTCGAGACACGTCGACCGGTGGAGATGCTTTCATGACAGCTCTGCTTGGTTTAGGGTTTAGGGTTTAGGGTTTAGGGTTTAGGGTTGAGGGTTTGGGGCTTAGGGCTTAGGGCTTAGGGCTTAGGGCTCAGGGCTTAGGGCTTTGGGTATAGAGTTTTCAGTTTAAATAGGGTGTAGGGTTTAGGGTTTAGGATCTAGGGTTTAGGCTTCTAGGTTTTTAGGCTTATCGGCTTTTAGTCTTTTAGGGTATAGGTTTTTCAGTTTGGGGTTAAGGGTTAGGGTTGTTAGGTTCTCAAGGGTTTTACGGTGTCAGGATTTGATGGTTTAGGGGTTTTGGGTGTCAGGGTCGGTAGCAGCGCAGCTACTCCCGAAGCGAGGCAGTTATAAGTGCAGTACAGTTATGATTGGTTAATAAGTACCATGAACCTCCAAGTAGGTAGGCACCATGCTGAACCCAAATAGGGGGTTTCTCAACATGCGGGTTGATCTAAAGGTCCTTCTGGGAGATTTTTGGAGGGCTCCTGTGGGTTTACAAGCGAGATATAGGGTCCTTTTGGGAACAGGTATTTTGATCAACTACCCTATTTTGCGTGCCTTAAAATGTTGGAGTTCCTGTTATAGTGCGGAGTTTGACATATGGGGTTTACGATATTAGAGGTAGCTTATTGGGGTCCTTCTTATAAGGGGACCCTACCACTATGTGGGGACATATAT